AAAAAATATAATTGTATAAATTACATTTTAAACTAAATGCAAAATTGGAACCTGGTTCTAAAGACAAGATGATTTAATTTTATAACTGAATACTGACCAGGTTTTAATTAGTAAAAAAATTAAATATTTAGAGGGAGTGGGTTTCGATTTCTGTAAACTAAAACGAGCCAACTTGCGCTTTATAGGAACCTCCAAAAAACTTCAATCTGGAATATGTTATAAGATCAATGTTTTCATTCATATAGACAGACGGACAGGGCTAAATCGACTCAGCTCAACGCCTTGATCCCCAATATACAGACTTTATGTCACGCCTCCTTCTGCCTATTACATTCATTTGAGCTAAGCTGATTCTGATTTGCCATTTTCAATTACAACTAAACTGATTATGATTTTCCATTTTAAATGGAAATTCAGTGTAAACAAATATGCAAATATTCTAACCCACAGTCGGACGTCAAAAGAACTTGGACATATTCTGTGACACTTTCCTGGACCGCGCCTACTTTCTAATGGAAGGCAATAAGTATCATGCCGCGCTGCAGTGCCTCGAGCAGATCAGACCTGAACTGACGGCTTGCACCGAGTACAAGTTTGTCAAGCTGAACATTAAGTTCTATCTCTATCTAGGGCAGTGCGCTGAAAAGTGAGTATAAATTAGCATGAGATAAAAGTATGTTAGCAACGCCTTTACGCTGTCCCATAGTTTTGACCACATAGACAAGGCTATATCCAGCTTTAAGAAGGCTCTGCGATTGTCGCGTCTGTACGATCACAAGGACCACGAGGCCGAGATTCTTCTCAACCTGGGCAAGCTCTTTGCCCGAGACACCTCCAAGACGGGCATCGCCAAGAAGTGCTACAATCAAGCCAAGAAGATTTACATCGACTTCAACGACACCCACAGCAAGAAGACGGCCGTCTTCCTGATGGGCAAGCTGCTGGCCGACGAGATCACTCCGCTCTACATGGCCATGCTGAAGGCGTCCGGCTCGAGGTATTGCGCCTTCTACAATCTGCGCCAGTGGAAGAATCGCTGTCGTCCCTTCTGGAAGCAGCTGGGCACCGAGATCATCAAGCAGGAGGCGAACAACATCTACTGCCTGCTCGAGGAGGAGAATGAGGATCCTAAGACCGTGGCCGACTTCATTGACCTGGAGAACGAAACCTTCAAGGTCGAGGAAGGTGACATTTTGTGATTCGACTCACCGGATATATACATACATATATATATGACTATATATACTCTTCAGAAAAATTGTTATTGTTGGTTAAGTCAAGCGACAAGTCAGCTCAAGAGCTGGCACTTAGGGCTGCACTCAAATCTCTCTCTTTCTCTCGATGATATATCCATTTCGGTTCGGGGCAGTTTCAGTGCAGTCCTCAGCGCAGCTTTGAGCTAGGCTTTGTTGCGTCCAATAAAATGTTTCGATATATTTGCTCAGCAAAAAGCAAAAATATGTTCTTCGAATTCCTCTTGCTCCTGTGACAGTTACAAATTGGTGGCACTAACAATAACCTGGCAGCCAGGACGCAGCCACAGCCACAGTCGCAGTCGCAGTCGCAGTTGCAGCAAAAATTAGCCGACTGCGCCGCAACAAATGTTGCAGATGCATGTGGCAAGCAAGGTTCGTGCCGCGGGTGGCAGCCTTTGTAAATTGGCAATGTAACGCAAGTCGCAACGCAATAAATCCCCCACACAACATGCCGGCGAAACATTCTGAAAACATTTTCGAACTGCATATTTATCATGCCACACAGACGCATGGGGCACACACACGCCCACGCAATAGCTGCGCTGTGACTGTTACTGGAAAATATTAATAAAACTCTGAATTGCAACAAAAGCCTTGTCTGTTGAGGTAGCAGCCATCAAATTGAGCTGCTGCAAGTAATTACGTTGCATAAATAATAAATTTGTTTGAAATTTAGCGCAAATGTGAAGAGCAGAGCGCAGATTTCAATTAAGTTAAATTGGATGTTTCAAGTAATCTAGAGAGAGAAGGATGGAGAGAGGCAGAAAGAGGGGGACTGAGGTTTTTGAAACACAATTCTGGCAAAGTGTTTTGTGAAATATGTATTAAGCAGGGTCTACCGAATACTTGAATTTGAATTGTTGAATTATGTAAGAGGCAGCCATTATTACCAGACAATATTCTACGAAAGCGAGGACTATATAATGGATGTAGGCTGTAATGTGAAATTTGTCAAGTATTCAATTAATCAGTATATGTGATTATATAATTTAATATATGTACTCTCTACAGGTAAAGTGAAAGTAAAGTGAAGTTAAAGAGAGGGAATGTGACCGATGAGAGAATAACATATAGAATAGAAATTTATAGCGTGCTTTAGTCACAATATATTGCTGCGCAGAGTAATGTATTTTATTTATAACTGCTATCATTAGCTCTTAATCTATTGCTATGGTTTTGTATATTAAGAATGGTCGTAAATAACTCTCGTTGCTCGACCGTAGTCCACTTCAGGAGGAGGCCATCAATAACATATTCAAGCTTGAACAAGAGCATCTACTATTGGAGCTTAAATATTAATGTAAGTTAATTAATTCGACAGCAGCAGTCACACTTCACTATTTTTATAACTACTTCACATGCACAATATACTCGACAATGTTGAAGTTCAAGTTATACTGTACAATACTATAAATAGCAACTAAGGAAAATAGTTAAATTTACCCTAGATTAAATTTTAATTAATCTCTCTTTAAGTTTCTATAAAAAATTATTTCGTTGCAATTCTTCATGTTTCTATTACTTAGCTATAAAATAGAATAATTGAACAATAATTCTTAATAATTGTTTAAGCATTATGTTTGTAAAATAATAATAATAATAATCAAAATATAATTAATAATCAAAATAATTTATTTATAAAATTAGCATAATTAATTATTTAAAATGATTATTACTATAGAAATAATAAAAATTATTATATATTAAATACATTTATTATAAATATAATAAAAAAAACAAAACCATTTACCCTGATCTGTCATTGAGAATAGGTACAATAAAATTTTATAAATATTTTTAATAAATTCAATTAGTATTGCATATTGGTATAAAATTTAACGAACAATTTCCCTATAGTACAAATCACTTTAAGTAATAAATCCAGTTAAATAAACTCCAAAAGGAAAAATTAAATATATACCTTACCGAAAATTCGTAATCCAATTTTTTTAAATGTAGTTTAAAAGTAAACACATATGCGTATTTACAAATACATACATATATATTTACATACACATACATATAAATTTGTTGTTTATTTTATTATTGCCTGAGTTTTTAAATGTTTTATATTTATGAAAAGATGAAAGAATTTAACATTTAATACTTCCACGAGGGTAAAAACTTCGGCCGGACAATGCCTGCAGGTATTATGGATTTATAAAGCTGCAATAATACGGTAGTTCTTGTTGTTTGCCCGCAAAAGTCAACCCTTTCCCATTTTCGGACCAAATATTTCGGTATGTTTTGGCGCTGGGTGGAAAAGTTGCTGCTGCTGAGCTGAGCAAAAGTTCGCAAATGAAAACAAATGCCTAAAGTTGCTTAATTAAAATGAAAATAAAAAAAAAAATGAAAAGTGAAATATGGAAAATGGGAAGTGGGAAGTGGAAAGCCGAAAGTGGGAAATAGGAAATGAACAACACTCCATTCGCTACTATTTTTCTGCAAATTTCCTGTGCAGCAGCAGTGGCAATTAAATGAAGAATGTGAAGCCAAGGACTGTGGCCTTTTCGACAGAGAATCCTTGCGGTGAATGCACACAAGTGTCACACACGTAATCCTGCTCGACGAAAGTCTAGTCAAAGCAAAGTTCTGCTAAATATATATGTGCTCAGACGCTGCGCTGCCAAATTAAAACTGAATTACAAAACAGCAAATTAGCCTTAAACTATTAGAAACATTTATATAATCTGCCGCTGCCTCTGCCGCCGCCTTTGCTTCCGCCTCTGCCTCTACTTTAGCTACACACGGCGTATTCGTAACTTTCGTATGATATAGCAATTTGGCTGCCTCGTTCAATAGTGCGCTAGAACTTTATACAACTTTGTCAATTAAAACTTTATTGCTCGAGGCGAGTGAGTTTCGTAATTTCTCTCGCGAAATAATACAGCCAGCAGATTGAATTCGCTTTCGAACCGACCTACAAATTATTGCCATTGTATATTAATTGTTCTACAGACTATTATTATGAGGTTGTAGCAGATGCAGCAACACCCAATTCGAGATTTAGCCAACAACAACTCCCCAGCCCTAACAGTAATATAATATTTAAACTCTGATTTGGAATGCATAACAATTTCCATGTATTCCTTTGGCTTTCCCACCTAAAAATACATAGTAAAATAAAAATCAAAGTGCATTTATTGTGTTTCGCAATAATTTCCATTGAATTCAATATACATCGGATTCGCTTGAATCAATTTTGAAAGTATTTCCGCCACTTGGAAATGGATCAAACGAGCTGCTCAAAACGAGCTGCTCCAAGACTGCTCCAAAAATAAATCTGGACTGTAAAGCGGATGACCGCCCAATTCGACTTCTGAGCACGATGAGCGACGATGCGTGAGCTCTCGCATTATCTTGGTGACAAATGATTCGGCTGCGGCAGTTGGCATTGCCCAATTCTCCGAAAACTTTTTTCAAACAAATGGACTACTCGGTGTAGAATCTTTTATGTTGCTCTAGTGGGACAATTGTGACCGGACACACGAGGCACACATTTGCCTTGAGGTTCCTTGAGGCTCTTCTACGAACAAGTTTTGTTGGATTAACTCAATTTCCACTAGCCAACACGGGTTGATGGGCCGAATGAATTATTCAACTCACAAGTAAAGATTGCAAATGAAAATAATGTCAAACTTTTCTGTGCAAATATCAAATTACAATACATAAACAGGCTAACGGTTCGAAATGGGAAAGACTTAGATGTATACAAATATTTGCAATTTAATTAATGACCATTAATTAAAAAAATGTTGGCATATTTATTATACATGAAAAAAAATCAGATTTCACATTAGTTTAATATGTTCTTATGCTAGAAAAAAGTGCTTTGGAATGGCAGATCTTATAAAATAATTATCTTAGGTATAAAGAATGTCGTACATTTTATTTTAATAATGCATTAAGAACTTTAAGTTTACAATTTTAGAAGCTGAACAAAAAATAAAATCACAGCTAAAAATAATTTGTTGTTGTTGTTTTAACATTTATGGATAGTAAACAAATAATTTGATGTTTATTCATTTTTTTAGTAATTTTTTGTTGTCTAATAAACTATTATAATAACTTAGGAAATCCAAAAGATTTAGGTAGATATTCAATAATTTAAATTGCCGCCTAATAAATCAATCATCAATGGGCTGAGCAATGTCACAAATGTTTATATATATTTTCACTATATACTGCAATGCAGCTGCTGTTATTGTGGGTGAATATTGTTAAATGTAAGTCTTGACAGCTTTAATAATCCGCTATGAATATGCGCTTATATCAAATAACTCTTAGTGCTTACACATTCCCATCATTGCTGGAGATTTGCCGCCTCTGACGGTGTCAATATCTTGAAGTATCCATTGACTAGATAAATTTGGGGCTCATCTGGTCCAGTTCCATCCGGATTGGTCTTCCAGCTGATGGTCAGACAGGGCTCGCCCGGCTGCGGTGCTTTTGGCACAGATATTTCATAGTTTTTCGCATGCTCGGGTCTCAGATTGTTCTGAATGAGAATCAGGGACTGCTGGGCCTCACTCCCGGGCACAGCGACATCCGGCACTATAAATTTGACATTTGATGTATTGCCTAGAGTCAACTATTTCTACTCACTCGGGTGACTCCAAACGGAGACGAGCAGCAACAGCAGCAGCAGCAGCAGCGACGGCAACTTGTGCAATGTTTTTGTTGATTTCATAATTTTGATTTTGATTCAGAATTTATAAACAAAGCGCTACAACTGAGCGGAACTGCAGCAACAACAACAACTGAATAGAAGCGTTTGATTTGTTTTATATACTAGATGCTGCACGCGTCACTATATATACATATACACATATATATATGTATATACTTATAGTTAGGGCACTCGTATTATCAAGCAACGTCTTGAAACAGAGAAATCTCAGCTCGAACTGTGCGATGTTCGAGTGCTTCAAGTCGAGGCAACTCGAATCGTATTGCTCTTTGATAGTCTCCCACTTATGCTCTCTTTATTCCCTCTCGCTCAGTCCATATCTCTCTCTCTCTCTTTCTCTGTCTGTCTCTGTTAGTGCTCCTCACCTGGATGAGTGCTATTTAGCTTGTCTGGCTTATCAACTTGCCGTTAGTCTTGAATGAATCAATTGCTTATACATATGTATGTGTGAATGTACCCTTGTCTGAGGGGAGATTGTCAACTCGAGTTGTAAACAAAGAACGTATCAATATCAATTGCAGATAGGCAGCGCTCAAGGGAACATGTGTGTGTTTGTACGTGTGTGTGTGTGTGTGTGCGGCAACAGCTGAGGTCAAAGATTCGGACCACCTACAAACTGGGCGAGCACTTGTGCAATGCAGCTAACATTTGATTTATAATTAAGTGTCTTTCATAAGTATAAATGACAAACATTTGTTTAAACATTGCACTATTTTATTCAACTCTTTCTCAATTATAACGGCTTGGTGATCAAATATAGACTTGTATTTTCCGCGTGATCTTAGTGCTCAATGCTCACTCATATTAAATAGTAAATATTCATATATGATTCATTCAAATCACATTTATGAAATAATTTCTTGAATAAAAAACTTTTGATTGCTTAAAAATAAAATTTAAATCAAACTGTGCTAAGTGTAACCTGTCATGGTATAACAGTTTCGTTTGCACTGTACTTAAGACTGCTTGCTTGTGTATGAAACTAAACTGCTTGGCTTACACTGTTTTTCCAAGCAGTGTTAGTTTTAGATTACTTCGGTATTTTCGGTCCAGTAAATGAGCGTCGCACGAATGTTTTAACTAAAGACGATCAACAGAAATGATACACGAAAAAACCCGAAGTCTTTCGCCCAAAGGGAGAGATCGAGTGCATCCGCGATCAGAGCGTAAAGGGTAAAAAGTCAACTCATATGTGTTATCTATGGTATTTAGTATTTATTGATACCGCAATGTATATTTCTTGAATACGCTGCCGGAGTTTTTTAGTATTTCGGACTCTTTGAAATCACAAGTGTTAAATTCAAATTTATACAAAACTTTAATTGTGTAAACTACAGTGCACTGCTTGCAGTCACAAAAGGCTGGTATAATTCGTACAGTATTTTCAGATTTTTAAAATTAGGTATTTTTATTCTAAGCACGTCTGGCTACTCTGCTAAAACTCTTAACTGGGCGCCAATTCAAATAATTGTATGCAAGCCAAACGAAATATTTTAACAGATATTAGAAAAAAAAACAATAAAGTTAAAGTTAAAGAATCATACAATATAATTTTGAATACTATGAGAAAAGTTCCAGCTAATAAGTAATTATCAAATCATTATTTTCTTCTGTATTAATAGTTTATTATTTAATTTGCATTTAATTTATTTAATCTGTAACTTACAGCGAAAAACATTAAACGTATTCGTAAACAAACAAGCTTAATTGTAGTATGTATTTTATGTATCATGTAACTTTAGCAACAATTGTTTATATTATACATTGCAAATAATGGAAACTACATCTAAATCGTTACAAAGTTGGAAAAGTATTTCTTTGCTATTCGCTCTGTAGCATGTGGATATGGGGAGGGGGTCGCGGGAGAGACTGGGTCTTAAGGACACTTTGAGAATGGTTAACAATATATATTTAATAATATACATATGCCAAAACAATATGTCAAATACAAATTAAACTAACTTATTTGACTCTGCCCTTGGACGGAAACCGTTGCATACCAAATTGCTATTAACAATTTTTAAAGACGAACAGAAAAAGAAGAAGAGATAAATTGGCTGCCTCCTTTGTTTAGCAAAAACAAATGAACTTGGAAGACAAATGAAAACAATTTGTTTATGCAAATTCCAATTCAATTTGTTGGGTTTCAAACAGAATCTTGAAACTCTTCTATTGGTTTTATGTTGCGTGAAGTGTCGATTTGTGTTTTCTTGTGTTGTTGTTGCTACAGTACACAGTCTTTGTAATTGTTGTTGTTGCTGTGGTTGTGTCTCTCATATTTCAAGTTGCTGAACAACGGAATCGAATTTGGATTCCGCTCATATTGGGTTTTGGGTTCCATCGTTCCACCTAAACCTCCGTGCTGTGCGTCTGAATGCGAACTTTCTTCACGCTTCCATTGCGCCGCATTGGCGGCGAGTTGCCCGATCCAGAATATCCTGGATTTTGTATGCCCAACGTTGGATCGGGCCTGGGTCGTGGCTTCTTCAAGCTCGACCGCAACGGCGAACGAGTCACCGAGTCCAGCGTGGAGCCGTTCGAAACGCTCGTCACAGTCGTGCTCATTGAAGCCACACTGCCAGCGGTTCCAGCCCCGTTTCTGATGCCGCTGTATGGCTTTCCCGAGGCATCGGTCATCGAGACGCCGTTGCGATTGCGCGGCTCCTTGAAGCCCGGATTGTTGAAGGTGGTGGCACTCGCCGGCGAAGAAGCGTCCAGCGCCATTGTGGGATCGCCACCAGGGGTGCGCGAGAAGATGACATCATACAAGGCGGCCACAAACAGCGCAATGGATAATACAATCACGACTATCTGCAAGACGAAAGCAATCCGACTTCAATGTCAGCCAATAATCAAAGTAATGGAATTACTCACCTGTATGTAGAAGGATATGCCACGCGATATCTTGAAACCGAAACGCTCCTGTTCATCGATCTGTAGTGCAAACAGCACTGTGGCTATTATAGCCAATAAGCCTGGGTAAGGAGAACAAATTGACATAAATGAATAGGGTATTGCTTTTGGGTATGTATTGAGCTATATATGCTTACCGCCCAGCAGGGCCAATATCAGTTTGACAATGACCAGTGATGTGTAGGACATGACAACCTTGTCACGCGACGAGATCATCGCGTGCTGAATCACCGACATAATGCAGAAGATGCCCAGCACAGCACAGCTGAACACTGCCAAGAGTCCGCTGACAAATACTGCATCTGAAACAAACATGGAATATATTGAATAATTTATATTAGAAATTGATTAAGAACAAGAGGGAAGTCAAAGCGTATGAAAAGAAATAATTTTCGATTGTTTTCCCAAAATATTCTATACAAATTTCATAATTCATTCATTCATAAAATAATTTTAAGAAATGTCTGTATTAAAACTAACTCAAATTTAAAACACAATTATTATACACATTAAAAAAAATTAATTTAATCAGAGTATCATTTCAAAATATATATTCTTAAATGCTTACAGAAAAAATTAAATAAATGCAAATATATATATTTTTTATTAATTTGAGCATTTTCTCATCATATTTGCAAGACATACTAATATTTACGAGCTTAAACTCATGTATTAGCAATAGGAATAATATCACAAGCTTTGGGAAATTGAAATTAAGTTTTAAATGAATTTCATAAACTGAAACTACAATAACTTAATAATTTAAAAATATATTGCTCAGAAGATAAGAATTAATTAGAATATTAGCTATACTTATAATTATACATTTCACACTCGAAATTTAAGTCTCGTTTGATTCATAAATATACTCACTGCTCAGCCGGAACTTGGAGACATCGTTGCCGCATTTCTCGCGATTGTAAGTCAGTTGCTTGCACACTTTGAAGGGGCCGAAATAGCCGCGATCATAGTCATAGCCACCTGTAGAGAGAAGAATGAATAAGTAAGACAATCGAGTACTCTATTAAAGTCCATATCAGTACCCACCAGATGGACTGTCGTAGTAACCCCAAATGGGTATGCCAATGGCGACAGAGGCCAAAGCGAAGCACACAAACCCCAAGCAGGTCACCCCAGCAACATAAAGTGTCGATGTGGCCATATTTTACTGTACAGCATAACGACTGACGATGCCTTGCTAGTGTATGCCCGCTAAAGACTGAGATCCAGGGTATCCAAGTGCCAGCTGCTGCAATGAGAGTGAGAGGGAAAGGTAGAATGCTAGAGTAAATATGTACACGACTTTCAGCTGTTGCAAAATATTCCAAAAGTAAACAACAAATTTCGTCTCTCAATTAAACAGTTATATAATGCATATGTATAGTATATGTGGCATGATATAGATGTATTCCGCTTTGACCTGGACCCAAACCCAATGACAGTTGGCTGATTATGCAGTCATTTCCCCGCCCCATGTGGGTGCCAGGCCAGAGGCATAATAATCCAATATTTGGCATTGTGATTATAGAGCATCCAGCACTAAGTGGGCCCACTTGGCGCTGCCGCACATCATATGTATATGTATCTGTATATGTATTTGTGCTCATCATACGTCTGACAAGGCCCATAAGTCTGTTGACGAACAATTAGATCTCATTCATACATAAAGAGCTACTTGCCGCTGACCTTGAAATGCGGAAAAGCTTACGCAGAAGTGACTCGTCGGCTCATTGTGCGATATGGAGATGCCTCGATATACACGTCCACACGCCATTGGGGGCACGTGTGGGCGGACGGTCGGTCGCATGGCTTGTGCATTTGGCAGATAACTGAACTTGAATCCAGCCAGAGAATGGCACAGTTGTCTCTGGCAAAACTCGGCGACAACAACTGTGGCTACATGAGCAAATATTTGCGCTTTTAAGTAAGCCGTTTTAATTTCCTGCCATTAAATGCCAATTAAAAGCAGCTGAAATTGATCTGTCTCTCAATATCCGAGGCAATCAATCAAAGTTTTATTGACTAGCTGTTTAAATGTTGACGAAGTGAAACCTAAGCGTTTCTACGATTTAAATTGTCATACACAACATACATGTGATC